TTATCCCTGGGCAGTCAGGCTGCTGAATCTCAATTCCTCAAATCGTGTGCATGTAAATGTGTAGGCCTGTGGGTGTGCAATTTTACTTAATACCTCATGATATCTCTGACTGTATTTCAATTAGTCCGAAATAGTCCACATACTGTCATGTTAATCCCTGATTCATATCATTTTGTAAGACAACTTGGACTGTACCTTAACTCGTGCCGAATATCGAACATATTCTTATCACAATTTAAAACAAAAAAAATCCATTCCATAACTCAGACTATCAATTTTTAACGTGTGCATGTGATTGTGTGTGGGTCTAGGGGAGTGCAATGTATTTATAATTTTTTTTATATTTTTATATTTCGCGACGCACTTGGGGGTGGAGGCTCCTGCAGAATTTCGTTGTAACAAGTGTGCAATGACAATAAAGTATTCATTCATTCATTCATTCAAAAAGGAGCAGGGATTGTTTCCACCCAGTTTTGAACTTGGGACCTTTCGTGTGTGAGACGAATATGATAACCACTACACTATGGAAACAGGTGACATCACAGTTTTTTATATCGGGGCTGTAAACCGAGCTAGCTGATAGCAGGAACGGTGTTTTATCGGGATGACCTCCTTTTATGCCTGTGTTCCTCATTAGTATAGTGGACAGCGTCTCCGCCTGTCATACAGAAGACCGGGGTTCGATTCCCTGAGGCGGAGTATTATCGGGAAGATCTCCTTTTAAGCCTGTGTTCCTCGTGAGTATTGTGGACAGTATCTCCGCCTGTCATAGATCGGGGTTCGATTCCCTGAGGCAGAGTAGTTGTAATTTTAATCATTTTGGTGATGCAGTTTTTCAGAGCAAATTAAAAAGGAGCAGGGATTGTTTCCACCCAGTTTCGAACTGGGGACCGTTCGTGTGTGAGACGAATGTGACAACCACTCCCCTATGGAAACATATGACACCATGGTTTTTCAAATCAGGGCTGTCAACCCAGCTAACTGACAGCAGGGACGGCATTTTGGAGGGCACAGCTCCTTTGAACCCTGTATTCCTCGTTAGTATAGTGGACAGTACCTCCGTCTGTCTCGTGGAAGACCGGGATTCGATTCCCTGACAGGCAGTTGTAATTTTAATCATTTTGGTGATGCAGTTTTTCAGAGCAAATTAAAAAGGAGCAGGGATTGTTTCCACCCAGTTTCGAACTGGGGACCTTTCGCGTTTTAGACGAATGTGATAACCACTACACTATGGAAACAGGAGATACCACCGTCTTTCATTTCAGGGCTGTCATCCCAGCTTACTGCTAGCAGGGATTGTGTTTTTGGACAGTATCTCCGCCTGTCATAGATCGGGGTTCGATTATTCCCTGACAGGGAGTTGTAATTTTAATCATTTTGGTGATGCAGTTTTTCAGAGCAAATTAAAAAGGAGCAGGGATTGTTTCCACCCAGTTTCGAACTGGGGACCGTTCGTGTGTTAGAAGAACGTGATAACCACTACACTGTGGAAACAGGTGAGATCACACTTTTTTATTTCGGGGCTGTCAACCTAGCTAATTGATAGCGGGGACGGCGTTTTGGAGGGCACAGCTCATTTTAGCCTGTGTTCCTCATTAGTATCGTGGACAGTATCTCCTCCTGTCACGCGGCCTTTTAAGCCTGTGTTCCTCGTTAGTATAGTGGACCGTATCTCCACCTGTTGCGCGGAACACCGGGTTTCGATTCCCTGATGGGGATGTGTTGTAATTTTAATCAGTTTCACGAAATGGGGACCTTTCGTATGTTAGACAAATGTGACAACCACTACACTATGGAAACAGGAGATACCACCGCCTTTCATTTCAGGGCTGTCATCCCAGCTTACTGATAGGAGAGATGGTGTTTTAGCGCAAGGATCTCCTTTTAAGCCTGTGTTTCTTGTTAGTATAGTGGACAGTATCTCCGCCTGTTGCGCGGAAGACCGGGTTTCGATTCCCTGATGGGGATGTGTTGTAATTTTAATCAGTTTCAAACTGGGGACCTTTCGCGTGTTAGACGAATGTGATAACCACTACACTATGGAAACATATGAAACCATGGTTTTTCAAATCAGGGCTGTCAACCCAGCTAAATGACAACGGAGACGGCATTTTGGAGGGCGCAGCTCCTTTTAACCCTGTATTCCTCGTTAGTCGAGTGGACAGTATCTTCGCCTGTCACGCGGAAGACCGGGTTTCGATTCCCTGATGGGGATGTGTTGCAATTTTCATCATTTTGGTGATGCAATTTTTCACAGCAAATGAAAAAGGAGTCAAGATTGTTTCCACCCAGTTTCGAACTGGGGACATTTCGTGTGTAAGACGAACGTGATAACCACTACACTATGGATACAGGTGACATCGCAGTTTTTATGTCGGGCCTGTAAACCTAGCTAACTGATAGCAGGGACTGCTGGAGGGTATAGCTCCTTTTATACCTGTGTTCCTCGTTAGTAGAGTGTCGAGTATCAACCTAGCTAACTGATAGCAGGGACTGTTTTGGAGGGCACAGCTGCTTTCAAGACTGTATTTCTTGTTAGTATATTGGGCAGTATCTCCGTCTGTCACGCGGAAGACCGCGGTTAGATTCCCTGACGGGGAGTCGTTGCAATTTTAATAATTTTGATGATGCAGTTTTTCAAAGCAAATTAAAAAGGGGCAGGGATTGTTTCCACCCAGTTTCGAACTGGGGACCTTTCGCGTTTTAGACAAATGTGATAACCACTACGCTATGGAAACATATGACACCACTGTTTTTTCAAATCAGGGCTGTCAACCCAGCTAACTGACAGCAGGAAAGGCATTTTGGACGGGTCTTTTCAAATCAGGGCTGTCAACCCAGCTAACTAACTGTAGGGACGGCATTTTGGTCTGCACAGCTCCTTTGAACCCTGTGTTAGTCGAGTGGACAGTATCTTCGCCTGTCACGCGGAAGACCGGGGTTTGATTCCATCATGGGTGGTTGTGGTTTTAATCAATTTGGTGATCCAGTTTTTCAGAGCAAATTAAAAAAAAATTAAAAAGGAGCAGGGATTGTTTCCACCCAGTTTTGAACTGGGGACCTTTCGTGTGTGAGACGAACGTGATTAACACGACACTATGGAAACAGGTGACATCGCACTTATTTATATCAGGGCTGTCAACCTAGCTAACTGATAGCAGGGACGTTTTGCCGGGAAGATCTCCTTTCAAGACTGTGTTCCTCGTTTGTGTAGTGACAGTATCGCTGTCAGTCACGCGGAAGACCCACAGTCTTTCATATCAGGGTTGTCAACCCAGGTAACTGATAGGTACTGTTTTGGAGGGCACAGCTCCTTTGAAGCCTGTGTTCGTTGTTAGTATAGTGGGCAGTATCTCCGTCTGTCACGCGGAAGACTGGGGTTCGATTCCCTGATGGGAAGTCGTAATTTTAATCATTTTGGTGATGCAGTTTTTCAGAGCAATATAAAAAGGAGCAGGGATTGTTTCCACCCAGTTTTGAACTGGGGACCTTTCATGTGTGAGACGAACGTGATAAACACGACACTATGGAAACAGGTGACATCGCACTTATTTATATCAGGGCTGTCAACCTAGCTAACTGATAGCAGGGACGTTTTGCCGGGAAGATCTCCTTTTAAGCCTGTGTTCCTCATTTGTATCGTGACAGTATCGCTGCCAGTCACGCGGAAGACCGGGGTTCGATTCCCTGATGGGAAGTTGTTGTGATTCAAATCATCAACTCATCAGCAAGCCCTGTAGAGGCCTGAAACAATCATGAACAGTTTAATCAGGTGTGTGGCGTAGGGAGGGATCTAAAACAGGTAGGATATGGCTCTCAAGGAACCGGAATTCCCTACCACTGCACTACACTATGGAAACAGGTGAAATCACGGTCTTTTATTTCAGGGCTAACCCAGCTTACTGATAGCAGGGACTGTGTTTTGGTGGAAAGATCTCCTTTTGAGCCTGTGTTCCTCGTTAGTATAGTGGACAGTATCTCCGCCTGTTAAGCGGAAGACCGGATTTCGATTCCCTGACGGGGAGTAGTTTTTTTAAATCATTTTGGTGAGGCAGTTTTTCACAGCAAATTAAAAAAGAGTCAGGATTGTTTCCACCCAGTTTCGAACTGGGGACCGTTCGTGTGTTAGACGAACGTGATAACCACTACACTGTGGAAACATATAACACCACACGTTTTCAAATCAGGGTTGTCAACCCAGCTAACTGAGAGCAGGTACGGCATTTTGGAGGGCACAGCTCTGTTGAACCCTGTGTTCCTCGTTAGTATAGTTGACAGTATCTCCGTCTGTCACACGGAAGACAGGGGTTCGATTTCCTGACGGGGAGTCGTTGCAATTTTAATCATTTTGGTGATGCAGTTTTTCCGAGCAAATTAAAAAGGAGCAGGGATTGTTTCCACCCAGTTTCGAACTGGGGACCTTTCGTGTGTAAGACGAAAGTGATTACCACTACACTATGGAAACAGATGACAAATGAGTCCTTCATATCAGGGCTGTCAACCCAGGTAACTGACAGCAGGAACGGCATTTTGGAGGGCACAGCTCCTTTGAACCCTGTTTTCCTCGTTCGTTGAGTGGACAGTATCTTCGCCTGTCACGCGGAAGACCGGGTTTGATTCCCTGACGGATCGTTTTTGTGATTCTCATCATTATGGTGATCCAGTTTTTCACAGCAAATCAAAACGGAGTCAGGATTGTTCCCACCCAGGTACGAACTGGGGACCTTTCGTGTGTTGGACAAATGTGATAACCACTACACTATGGAAACAGGTGATACCACCGTCTTTCATTTCAGGGCAGTCATCCCAGCTTACTGATAGCAGGGACGGTGTTTTGGCGGGAAGATCTCCTTTTAAGCCTGTGTTCCTCGTTTGTATCGTGACAGTATCGCTGCCAGTCACGCGGAAGACCGGGGTTCGATTCCCTGATGGGGAGTTGTTGTTATTTTCATCATTTTGGTGATGCAGTTTGTCACAGCAAATTAAAAAGAGGGAGGGATTGTTTCCACCCAGTTTCGAACTGGGGATCTTTCGAGTGGGAGACGAATGTGATAACCACTACACTATGGAAACAGGTGAAATCACATTCTTTCATTTCAGGGATGTCAACCCAGCTAACTGATAGCTGGGACGGTGTTTTGGAGGGTACACCTCCTTTTAAGCCTATATTCCTCGTTAGTATAGTGGACAGAAACTCCACCTGTCACGCGAAAGACTGGGGTTCGATTCCCTGATGGGGTTGTCGTAATTTTCCTCATTTTTGTGATGGAATTTTTCACAGTAAATTAAAAAGGAGTCAGGATTGTTTCCACCCAGTTTCGAACTTGGGACCTTTCGTGTGTGAGACGAACGTGATAAACACTACACTCTGGAAACAGGTGACATCACAGTTGTTTTATATCAGGGCTGTCAACCTAGCTAACTTATAGGGGCGTTTTGGAGGGCACAGCTCCTTTTAAGACTGTGTTCCTCGATAGTATAGTGGACAGTATCTCCCTCTGTCACGTGGAAGACTGGTGTTTTTTATTCCCTGATGGGGAGTCGTTGTAATTTTAATCATTTTGGTGATGCACTTTTTCAGAGCAAATGAACAGGGAGCAGGGATTGTTTCCACCCAGTTTCGAACTGGGGACATTTCGTGTGTGAGACGAACGTGATAAACACGACACTATGGAAACAGGTGACATGACAGTTATTTATATCAGGGCTGTCCACCCAGCTAACTGATAGCAGGGACTGTGTTTTGGAGGGTACAGCTCCTTTTAAGCCTGTATTCCTGGTTAGTATAGTGGACAGAAACGCCACCTGTCACACCAAAGACCGGGGTTTGATTCCCTGAAGGGGAGTCGTTGTAATTTGAATCATTTTTGTGATGCAGTTTTTCAGAGCAAATTAAAAAGGAGCAGGGATTGTTTCCACCCATTTTCGAACTGGGGACCTTTCGCGTGTGAGACGAATGTGATAACCACTACACTATGGAAACAGGTGACATCGCAGTTTTTTTTTTTTTTTTTAATATCAGGGCTGTCAACCTAGCTAACTGATAGCAGGGACTGTTTTGGAGGGCACAGCTCCTTTTAAGCCTGTGTTCCTTGTTAGCGTGGAGAGTATCTCCTCCTGTCACGTGGAAGACTGGGGTTCGATTTCCTGACGGGGAGATGTTGTAATTTTAATCATTTTGGTAATGCAGTTTTTGAGAGCAAATTAAAAAGGAGCAGGGATTGTTTCCACACAGTTTCGAACTGGGGACCTTTCGTGTGTGAGACGAATGTGATAACCACTACACTATTGAAACAGGTGACATCACAGTTTTTTATATCAGGGCTGTAAACCTAACTGATAGCAGGGACTGTTTTTGCCGGGAAGATATCCTTTTAAGCCTGTGTTCTTCATTTGTATAGTGACAGTATCGCCGCCAGTCACTCGGAAGAGCGGGGTTCGATTCCCTGATGGGGAGTTGTTGTGATTTTCATCATTTTGGTGACTGGGGTTCGATTCCCTGACGGGGAGTAGTTTTACTTTTAATCATTTTGGTGATGCAGTTTTTCAGAGCAAATTAAAAAGGAGCAGGGATTGTTTCCACCCAGTTTGGAACTGGGGACCTTTCGTGTGTGAGACAAATGTGATAACCACTACACTGTGGGAACATGTGACATAACAGTTATTTATTTCAGGGCTGTCAACCTAGCTAACTGATAGCGGACGTTTTGCCGGGAAGATCTCCTTTTAAGCCTGTGTTTCTCATTTGTATCGTGACAGTATCGCCGCCAGTCACGCAGAAGAGCGGGGTTCGATTCTCTGCTGGGGAGTTGTTGTGATTATAATCTTTTTGGTGATGCAGTTTTTCATGGTAAATCAAAAAAGGAGTTGGGATTGTTTCCACCCAGTTTCGAACTGGGGACATTTCGTGTGTAAGACGAACGTGATAACCACTACACTATGGAAACAGATGACGCCACTGTTTTGGCAGGTACAGCTCCTTTTAAGGTGTGACGGATACAACGACCTGCAGGAAAACTGGTATTTGCGTAACTTAATCATAAACACAATGAACATCTTGTCTGACTGCAACACTCTCTGCTAGCTACTGTAACGTTTAAACGTGCCTTCAAAATAAGATACACATTGCATGACAAATACGACTCACCATCGCCGCATGTCATGCAGAGTGGGCTTGGTGCTTGGGAATCTCCCGTTGAGATAAGTCCGTATTATAAGTAGGGCTCCTGATACTGTCTACTAAATGTAGCCTTCTTTTTCTTGAAAGGCTTAGGCTTCTCTTCTGGCTGGGCCTTTTCCCCTTCCCAAAAACGTTTGTTTTTTTTCTAATTTTGCTAGCTTCTGGGTTTCATTTTAACGGTAACCTGTCACGTGACCGAGAAGCACGCCTTGACCTGCATCAGGAGTGACATTCTGGAGACGGATGTAACAGAGAATCGGGTACATTTTTCTTCCAAATAAAATATCTTTGAGATTCTGAAATAAATAAAACGGAAGTAATGTAAGGGAGTTCGGGACCACTGGCCTCAAGGATATTCTCATGATGAAACGTGGGAATGAATCCAACACCTTGCGAGAGGAATGAAAATTTGGAACTCCAAAAATGTTCTTGCAAGTCTGACAGCAACTCTGGGAGGCAATTCTTGTGTGATGAAATGAGATACCATCAGAAAATATACATGGGCTTTTAATTTCAAAGGAGGAGAGAGAGCTATTGAGGTTATATCAAAGCGGGGCTCTCATGTTAACATGTAACTTAATCGACAAAGTTGTTTGAAGGTTGAAATTGAATTGCATCAAATGCAATTATATGGATATCCTAAACAGTAAAAGCACTCTTACAAGATCATATCAATTGAAAAGTGGTCTCCACTCCAGGCATCACAGTGACTGAATGTGGCTGGATTTTAATCTCAATTGACACTTTTCCCACCATATTTTCCAGACTATAAATCACAGATTTTTTTCATAGTTGTGCCTGGGGTGCGATTTATACTCTGGAGGGATTTATGTGTGAAATTATTAACACATTATTGTATCATTCCACATGTTATTTTCACATGAAACCGGAAGAGGACGCTCTAGGCCTGTGTTGATGATTTCCACATTGGCAGGAATTTAAGATAATACGATCGGTACTGAATAAAAACAACTGAGAAGAGCTGTTCAAAAACGGCACCGAAGAGCAAATCATATTCTGCAGATTACAATTTGGAAGTAATGAATTATGTAGCCGAAAAACAGTTGAGTTGAGAGAGAGTTGATAAAAAGGTAATCGAGCAGCAGGAAGAAAGTTTGGACGATCCTGTCAGGATTCAGAAAGGCTGGAATAATTGGAACCGCAACTGACGATGACTAAGCGACACAGAAGAAAAAGCGCCGCATTTTCCACCTGCGGAGTTGTTTAAAAGTGACAGCGAGGGTGAAGATTTCATTGAATTTGGTGATTTGGAGTGATACCAGTGGTTTGATAAACTTCTCCCATGTTCTTTATGCTCTAGTTATCTGAATAACTCTTTATATGTTCTGAACATACGAGCATGTAACGTGAGCATATACACTTGTTCAGCCTGTTGTTCTGTTTTATTTTTATTTTTAATTGCCTTTCAAGATGTGTCTGTTGTTGGTGTTGGATTTTATCAAATGCATTTCCCCACACAGTGGGACTTATACTCACCCTGGTGCAACTTAGATATGTTGTTTTGTTCTTTCTTATGCATTTTATGTGTGGTGGGACTTATACCCAGGAGCTACTAGTTCGGAAAATACGGGAATTGAGTTTTCCATGTGTCCAAAACTTAGCCCATAGATCTGATTATTGGTCTTCAAGGTTGGTTTGCTTCCAAGGTTAAATGATTAACTAATAATTGTCTTGATCTTGTCTGAATTCTTCAGTTCCCCAAATTCAGAACAATTCCGGAGCTCACACTTTCCTAAAAAGAAACGAAAATGTTGAAACTGTCCATGTTTTATTTTAAATATAACTAAATCCGTTACTTTTTCACAAAAAATAATTGGCTAGTGTTGGCGTTTTTCCCCTGACCGTACCCACTGTGAACCAAATCATGACCAAGAAAAATACTGTCTGTGATACTGTCCACTATATTATCGAGGAATGCCAACCCTGAAAAAGCCCTACCCACTAAAGCGCCGTAATTACTCTCATTTAGGAGGCTTGTCAGCCCTAATATGAATGATCACGGAGCTATCTGTTTCCGTAGTGTAGTGGTTAACACATTCATGACACACGAATGGCCCTCAATTTGACACTGGGTGAAAGCAATCTCTCCTCCCTCTATGAGTTGTTATGAAAAAATGCATCACGAAAACAATGATATTTCCAAATATCAATTCGCTGTCTGGGAATCGAAGCCCAGTCTTCCACGAAAGGCTGACATACTGAGATACTGTCCACAATACCCACCAAAGCACAGCCAATGCTATCAAGTGCAGTATCCCTGATATGAAAAACCATGGTGTCATCTATCTCCATAGTGTTGTGGTGATAACGTTCGTCTCACACGCAAAAGGTGCCCATTACAAAATTGGGTGGGAAGAATCCCGACCCCTTTTTGATTTGCAATGAAAAACTGGTCTTCCGCGTCACAGGCTGAGATACTGTCCACGATACTAACGAGGCACACCCACGCTATATCTGCCAGAGTACGGCAATGCTCTTAATAAGGCATCTTGATAGCCCTGAATGGAAAGAACTCGGCGTTGGAAACAGATGAGACGATGTTCTCATCTGTTCCCATGGTGTAGTGGGCATCACATTCGTCTTACACGCGAAAGGTCCCCAGTTTTAACTGGGTGGAAACAATCGCTCCTTCCTTTATGATTTGCAAAGAAAACTGCCTCACCAAAATAGTGGTGATAACATTTGTCAAATACATGAAAGGTACCCAGTTTGAAACTGGGTGGAAACAAATTTTTCTTCCCTTTTGATTGGTGAAGAAAAATTGCATGAAGAAAATAATTAAATTCACAAAAAAAAAATAAAAAAATAAAAAAAATAATAAAAAATCCTGTCAGGGAATCGAACCCCAATCTTCCGCGTGATAGGCGAAGATGCTGAACACGAAACTCACGAGGAACGCCCAACCGAAGCATGCCCTTCCCGCCAGAGCGAGCAGTTAGGCGGCTTCCCTGATGGGAAAGACTACAGCAGCATCTGAATGGCAGCGCCACCGCGGAGGCGTTTTCGACGCTTGTCACGTGAAAGTCCGGGAGCCACATTGAACCAGCCAAAGAGCCGCATGCGGCTCGCGAGCCACGGCTTGGGCACCCCTGATGTAGTTGTTATCACATTTGTCTCACACAAGAAAGGTCCCCAGTTCGAAACTGGGTGTAAACAATCTTTCTTTTCTTTTTGATATGCTTTGAAAAACTGCATCACCAAAACTTAAAATTGACAAAAAATAACTTACCATGGGGGAATTTAACTCCGATCTGACGGAGATAGTCTTCATTATACATCCAAGATAGCGCTGTAGTTGGCAGCTGTCGGCAACAGCTCCTCAAGAGCTTTGTTTTATGTTGTTTTTGTCTTTTGTTTTGTCATATGGTGTTTGTTGTCCTTCGTGTGGATGCAATGTGGATTTTTTCAGCATTTTGGCCACAATATTCGTCGAAGGAGTGGTTGTTGCTGGCTTGGTGGTTCCGCCTTCTCTGCAGCACGCGTGTAACAGCACTGATTTTGATTAGAAGGGATGTTGGAACTGTTTGACTGTCACCGCTGGACAGCCCTGGGGCCCTTGTTTTTTTTTTTATGCGCCTGTAATGGGGAGCATTTTTCCACAGCCCCGTTTTGTTCAGCGGGGAATGGGTTAACAAAAAATAACAATATAATAGAACACAACACAAAACATTTGACACTGACATATGCAATCCTGACCACTTTTCCTGCATCCGGTCCAGGGTGTAGCCTGCCTCTCACCCTCAGTCAGTTCGAATAGCATCCATCTCCCCATGACCCAACAGAATAAGTAGCATAGAAATGGCTGAGTGGGAGTACTAGTAATGGTTTAATTAAATAGTTAACATATACAGTATAAATATAAAAGAAAGATGAGTTGCCAGTAATAAAACATATCAATAAATTGTATTGTCACCCAAGACGCTAAAGTGTCCCCAGGTGTGATTGTGAGCGTGACCAGTTGTTCATTTTTTTGTGCCCTGGGATTGGCTTGTGACCAGTTCTGGGTGTACCGAGCTGGGATAGGACATCTCATCTTGGATAGGCTACAGCACGCCTGCAAGCCTTGTGAGAAAGAGTGGTATATATATATATATATATATATATATATCCTACTTTGTCTTACTCTGTAATTACCAATGATTCATCTATAATTACCTAGCCTTTTTTCCTTGAAACATTTATCCAGTTCATGATCTGAGTGCGGACAAAATCCCATACAGTGCCTATCCCCTGAGTGAACACAAAATTTCAAGGCAACAAACTTGGAATTTGGGAAGTTTGGCAATTCAACTTATTATTTTTTATATACCACTTTTGCTGTTGTGAAAATTGGCTTTCCTGCATTTGACAAATAAATACAAGTTTATACACAACTGTTGTCCCTTGTACTGACCCGCCAAAGTTAAAGAAACAAGCAAAAACAACTCAGCAATTTGTTTTGGATCAAACAACTTGGTTGCTTTGTTGTGCTAACATTGTTTCCATAAATGTTAACAATTCATGTTTTAAAGTTGCTCCAATTTAAGTTTTTTTTTTTTTTTTTTTTTTTTTTTAATGCAAAAAAGGGTAATCCAAGGTAAAAACATGACTGACACATACAGGAAGAGACAGGCAATAATTCACAATCAGATCACACCCTTGAGCAATTTAATAATTGATTAGAGGCATCTAAATCCACGGTGCAATATTTGGAATTGTGGGAGGAACTCGAAGTACTCGCGACAAATCCCATGTAGGCACAATGACAGTGGCGGGCCGTGCATTTCAACCTTAGGCCTTCAGTGACATCACATATTATGAACACAATACTGTATAGGCTTGTCAAGCAGCACTTAATTTCAGGAGCATTTAAAACCATCAAGTATGCATTCACAATTAAGAGCAGGACACAATATAGGCTTGTCAAGCAGCACTTAATTTCAGGAGCATTTAAAACCATCAAGTATGTATTCCCAATTAAGAGCAGGAAACACTACATTTACAGATAGTCAAAAATAAAAAGATGATTTAAAAATACGAAATAAAATGCCACCCAAATTACGCTGTGTGATCTTAAACAAGTCGGTCCAATAAATTGCGCAATGTCGCAGTTTCACATAAGACACCAACCAAACAATAACAAAACAAACTGTTCTTTGAAAATAAAGTAAACAGATCATTTGCATTTTGAAAATCGACGATACAACAGCAAATAACCGACATAACTGACTAAATAATAACTGACGAACAGCTGAGATTGAACGAACTTTCGTGCACGAAGGTGACTACAATGCGCCATTATAAATTGCAGGTGAGCAGATTTATTTGATACATGTTTGTATCTTTGTCATTTTATTTCGTTACCATGAATTTAATTCTAACGAAATAAAATGACAAGAAGAAATGTAAAATAAAATTCATTGACTCACCAGTGTAGTTCTCACAGCGTCTGCTTATTTGAAAATAAAGTCGATCCTCCTTTTTTATCTCAGGAACACTTCAGTGGCTCTGTTGCACAGTTTTCAGGTCCATTAGCAAGTCCTTTT